CGTGGGGCCCGACGTTCTCTGTCCCTCCGTTCCTCCCGGTTCTGCTCACGGCATCAGGTGAGACGTGTCTGACCCTTCGCTGCGTCGTCTGTTGATCACCGCGGGCTTTACGCTGTCGTCACAACATCAGGAGTCAGGGTGTGAGAAAACAATGATATGCTAATGTATCGCAATATTTTTTACAGCACTGTATAGATTTTTTATACATATATTTATTAACAATTAAGAGTCAAATATTCATATACATTTTATTTTTGAAAAAAATGTTTACAAATATAAACCCCTCTGTTCCGATGTTAGTATCCTGATGGTAAGCATGCAATATATCACCATCCCTATAGTATCGCAATATATCGTATCGTTAAACGTATCGTATCCCCAGACTCTTGTCCATACCTACCCCTAAACAGGAGGAAATATTAGAATAAAAAAATTTAAAAAAAAACAGGCAATAGTATAGACTACTGTTAGCTTTATATACTCCTAAATTTCTCTTCTTTTTAAATGTCCATGACAAATTTCATAAGAAAAAAAAAATGTGAGGAAGAAGAAAATGAAGAAAGTTTTAGTCCGTACCTTGATGAGGCCTCCAAAGGACCGTGATCGAGGATGTTTCTTGGTGGTTGTTTGTAATCCATGGTGATTCTCATTGTTAGGCGTCACTGCTGTAGTGGTCTGTTTGACAAGCTGTACATGTAAACACACACAGACACAATTACATCTGACAACTTATTTGTCAAAACGATCAGAAACGTCTCAACAAGCGTCCATGTCCCAGACCTGGCGGACCAGCTTCTTCTTCTTGGCAGAGTCGGGCATGTTCTGGTTGACGTGTCTGAAGAGCTCCTTCAGCGCCTCCTCCGTGTACTGCTGAGCCGGCGACTGGTACGTGTCCTCAGAGCCGGGGCCCAGAGCGGCCGCCCTCTTCATGGGCAACGCAGTCCGCTGAGCAGGAGAGTTGTTCACTGCCAACAGCTCCAGGTCATCCTGGGGGAGAGGAAGACGGAAAAGTTCAGGCCGAGTCCGGGAGCTTCCAAAACAACAAGGCTACATAGTGCCATCTAGTGTCTTCTTTTACTTATGAGCCGAGGAAAGAAAGAAGGTTAAGCTGCTCCCCCTGCTGGTTGACTTCATTCTGATAACCACTCACCTTGGTCTGCACAGACTTGGTGGAACTGAAGTGGACCCTGGCGTAGTCACGCAGGTAGCCTGGACAGTACACAGTACACACACACACACACGTCATTAATGGAGCCTGGACAGTACACACACACACACACGTCATTATGTCACACTGTTAATCATGAGGGCACACTTTGTGAGGACATTTATTTTTGTAAAATCCTTTGTTGTGAGATCATGTGTCTTTGTGGGGACATTTTTTGTGAAATTTTAGTTTTCTGTAAGGATTAAAAATTAGGGTAGGGATTAAGGATTAAAACAGTTTGTAATGGTCAAGGTTAGAATAGATTATATAATTGAAGTCCTCCGAACTCCTGTAGACCAGACACTGTGTGTGAGTGTGTGTATGTGTGTGTGTTCTCGACACAAGGAATATATATTCTGTGAGTGTTTGATGAGAAAGGCCATGCTGTTGTTTAGTTTCTTCAGATTGTCCTTCAGGTCACCAGCAGTCATCTGGTTGGAAAAACAGAAGAAAAAAAATTATAAATCAATAATATAAATCATTATAAATCTATAAATCAAGAGGATGGGACTGAAAATGAGACAAATAAAAACGGTCCTTCCCTAATTCCCATACCTACTGTAGTTCATTCCAGAAATTTCACACAGATAAATGTACAGTTCAGGACAGGCTTGACAAGTACTAACAGGCCAGTAGGAATTCAGCAAAACATCAGTATGGTTCGATCAAACAGACAGATACAGTTGAATAACCTTCAGCTTCACAATGTCATTTAAAATAACAGCCTGTATTATCCTGAGCCTGCGTCACAGCAGTGTGGTTCAGATTCTGTGATTCTTACATGTCTGGGCCACAGCACGTGTGGGGCAAACATCAGGGCCAGGTTGAAGGCTGACATCTTGTTTTTGTCCTGCTGCTTGGCCGTGTGGTAGAGCAGGTCCAGCAGCAGCTTCAGCAGAGAGCGGTTGGCCTGAGGCAGGAGGAGGAACAGCAGCTGCAGGGCCTCCACCTGACGCTCCTTGTTGGGAACTGCGGTCTTGTTGCCGTGCTCGTCGAACAGAGTCATGTCTGAGAGACAGACGAGTTATTACTATAAAAAAATACCAAATGCCACCGTTGTTTGTCTCCAGAGCTCAGAAGTGGGTGTTTCCTCACCAGCTATCTTCAGGTGCACGTGGAAGTGTCTGTGCGTGAGCAGAGGTTCAGGCAGTTCACCCAGGATAGTCTTGAGCAGCGTGGCCACGTCATTGGGGTGAAAGTCTCCTGAGTCCAGTTTGACGTCTGATCCACTGTTCAGAAGTTCCCTCAGAGACTGAAGTCTAACGCTGTTTCCTGGCACACGAAACAGACCCTCCACGTGCAGATCTGAGACCGCGACACAAGGAGGTGAAAAGTAAAAAAAAAATATATATATCTTGATTACTGGCATTACGCAATATAAAGAAGGTGACTGTAGACTTCCCGTATTTTCCAGACTAAAAGTCACACTTTTTTTTTCATCCTTTGGGTGGGTTTGTACAGTGTACAGCTGATGGTGTTAGATTCTACATAACACGGGTATGAACCAAAAAGAACATGAGAATAAAATTTTTCAAACGACTTACTTCTGCTGAGATACTCGATGAGCTGGTACATCTGAGCAATGCAGGTTTCCGTCAATGCAGTTCCAAACATGACTCCTTTATCTGAGATAGAATGGATAATTTATTGTCAAACTTTTTTTTTGCAGTTCTTTGCCAGTAATTATTTAACAGATTCAGACCATCTGAACTCTAACCTTTACGTTTGAGGAAGTTGAATGAACGAAAGAAGCCCCCGTTTCCTCCCGTTGGGGTCTTGGGACTGTCCTCGCCAATGAGCTGGGCAAATTCGGTGCCAGGCAGATCGATGAGACGAGTGATGTTACTCAGCACCAGCTCCAGGAAAACATCTGGGCACTCGTGGCGAAGTTTCTCCACAAAAAAGTCTGGATTGAAGATGACGGGTGGTCGGCCTGCACTGGAGCCCCCTGGTGACTCCTCCTGACTGATCACCATGCTGCAAACTGTACCTCTGCAGAGGAGGAGGAGCAAAGACATATTTTCAACTTTTACTTTATTTATTACAGTCTTTAGAACACTTCAACTGATTTGTCCCTATGCATAGAAATTATTTTACAATTGTTTTTGCAGTCTACCTTGTACTTATTTACTTTATTTTAGTCATGATGCTTTCTTCTTCGGCAGCCTTAATCCAAACTTCCGGTTCTTTATATTGTTTATTTTTGCATGTATATGAAAGTATTACAAGCTATATAATTCAGACGCCCGGTCTTAATAAACTAAATTAAAAAGATATATTATTTCATTTGAAACGAAAGTCTAAAAATATTGCCAATTTAACTGTACACTTGGAAAAATAAAACGAAGGGACAAAGGATTCACTTTATAAGACTGTGTACCGTGAACATCCCTTACTAATGGCAATAATACACAAACAGACGAGTTGCAGATGGCAGATAAACAGTAATATCACACGGTTATAACTGAAGAAACGTCCAAACTTACTTATTTTTGTGCCGACAACACCTCACCCTGACAAAAGAGAAAAAAAATACTTCAACCCGCATACATTTTTGGAGCTTTATGCTAACTAAGCTAAAGCTAGGAATGACAGTCGCTATGAGGAAGTCGCTTGTTTTCTACGGTAGAAACTTTGTAAACCACTTTTCCGAAAGTATCGCAGCGTAGTATTAAAAATATGTCCATAACACAGGCGACTTAAAACCATTCTTACCTTCTATTTTGATTATTTTCCTCGACATCTCTCCCCGCAGCCATGTTCAGTTTGAATCCTCCGCTGTTGTCCTCCTGGCCCCGCCCATCTCACTCACCGTTGGTTGTTTGTCTGTTGTGGGCGTGGCTTTGTGGCTGAGATTTGCATGAGCCTCGCTCTGATTGGACGGTTTGAATTTTTTCAGTACGAGGAAAAAAACATCTTCTGTGTTGAAGAAAGGACGACTTTGTGCGGTGTAAACATGGACCACTGTCCTAGACAGCCTCTGCTCAGAACCTACTTCCGGTCATACCACATTATTGTAGATCACATATATCGAGACTGTGAATTCTTTTTTATTGCACTGTTTTCTTTTTTCTCTCACTTTAATATTGCCATTTATTGAATGTGTGTTGTTTTACCGTGTCTGTTTTTCATCAGCCAAGACGATAAGACGATGTCCTTGTTACCACCAGTAGGTGGCAGTATTTCACTTCACAATCTTATCCAACTGCAATTTCAACACAAAATATTAGTATGTGAGGCCAAAAGTAGATGTCAAGACTTACACTGTTCTGAATTCAGAATAGAAATAAGAAAATAGAATTGTTTTTCCTTGGAATTGCAGGTGCAAAGCCTGAGTGTAAAAATAAAACAGGCTCCATATGTTGGTCTAATCCAGTCCAGGTGGTCCTGCCTGTTCCAATTAGAGAAGGCCGTGGACCAGAACCTGTGGAAATGCTCAGATAAATGTCCTGTGCTTTTTCTGTCATTTAATTTTTTTTTGCTTTTTAATGTTTTTGTGCAACATTCATGAATGAAATATTATTTACAGTAGGTACAGTAGGCAAGTAGTGAAGTCTAACTCAAAGTACAACATATTTTTTCTTCTCTTTTATTAAAGGCATTTGAACATTCTTCTGTAATCAGTGTTAAGAAAAAATAACCAAATCAGCTATTAAATAATTAGATAATAAATTAGTGTGAATATAAATAAACTTCTAAGTAAGAGTTAAATAATAATAATAATAAATCATCCTTGATCTAAAACCAGTTAGAAATCTTCAACCGGAGTCTAACTGGACTCCAGTAACATCTGCAGTGACGTGTTGATGTTCTTCACGTGACGTCACAGCCGTGCTCTCCCATTAAACAGCTGATCTTCTTCCACCAGGTTTCTGACAGGCTCTTGATCTTGTCCGGTGTTTTCCTCCTCAGAGTCATCCTCTGCTCCTGGACGCTGCTGTCGTCGTTGTTGTTGTCAGTCTGATGAAGGCTGGCCAAGATGGCTGCATCAAACACATCCTTCAGGTTCTTCTGGGTCAGGGCTGAGCACTCCGTGAAGCTCACAGCCCCCAGCTCCTGAGCAAACCGCCGGCCCTCCTCGGCGTCCACCGGCCGCTGCTGGTTGTCTGCCAGTTGGATCAGCACCTGGACGTCCTCCTTCAGGTCCAACTGAGTGCCGACGAGGACCAGGTGAGAGTCTGGACACCGGTGACGGATTTCAGGGACCCACTTGTCCTTCAGGTTACGAAATGAGCACGGTCGCACCACGCTGTAGCACAGGAGGAAGACGTCGGCGTTCTTGTAGCAAAGATGCCGCAGGTGTTCCAGCTCCGCCTCAATGAAGCAACAAAACAAAAAGTACACAAGGTAAGACTCTGCTGTGTGTTTTATAGGAACTATAAGTATTTTCACAGTGTGTTTTTTATGATAAAAAGTAGTTCAATAAAATAACATAGTATTATGTTATTAATAGTAAAATAGTTGTAAAATAATGTAACCTGTACTTATGTATAATAATGTTATTATTATCATTATTATCATCATCATCATCATCATTATTATTGTTATAGTTATTATTATTATAACGGGCCAATAGAGGGCGATGGAGAACAGGCTGTCACTGGGAGGAAATAATTCATAATTAACATCTTACTCCAACAGGGGGCGCTATTTACTGTCGGATTAGAGCTACTTTAGGGACTGAAGTGGTCTAAAGGGATTCAGGGCTGAAAGCTGTCTGCGGGGTCAACCAACAGGGGGCAGTTCGAGTTACTGTTACTGACTGGTTGATGACTGACTTACGTTGACTGGTTCACCAGCCTGTCCCCATGTCTGTGGTGACAGAGAGATGTTTACAGGTAAACAGTTGTTTACGGACCCGGAGACCCAGAGTGTTAAAGTAATGACCTCACCTGTCCGGCCATGTCACAGAGCTGCAGCCTGATTGGTTTAGCGTCGACCACCACCGTCACTGATCAAACACAGAGTTACACAGAGTCTTCACCACATGTTTGGGATTGATTGTATATAAAAAACAGATGTGATCGTACAGGTTATAGCACACAAGTATTATGTAATAATTTTTTTTCTAATCTTCTGCTGTGCGTGAAACCCGTGCGTAAAACTGTGCCCATCGCGGGGCCACGTTGTGAAGACATTTTTTTTTTACCGGTAAAGTTGTCAAAGGCTGTCGGGACATATTCCGCCGGGTACCCGTTGGTGGTGTAGCTGACGACGAGGCTGGTCTTACCCACAGCTCCGTCTCCGATCAGGACGCACTTCACCTTGTGCTCGGCCGCAGACGCGCAGCCGGAGCCGCAGCCCGAGCGCCGCCGCTTCACGGTCACTGGGAAATCCCGGCTCTTCAGGCGCGGAGGCGGAACCGGGGGGTTTTCGTCTGCTCCGCACGCCAGGTCGGATCTACGGCGGGGCTTCTGTCTCCCTGTGTCCTGGGGAAGCATGTTTGAAGCCCCCCCCCACGTCAGTGTTTGTCTGTTTGATGCGTCAAAGTCGCCAGTGAGTCCGTGGACCATCCATTCTTAGTGGATTCTGCTGCCTTTAAAAAGACATAGACCAAAGTCACGACCACATCTGATTATGGTGGTGGAGGGTTTGTAGCAGCAGCAGCAGCAGCAGCAGCAGCAGCAGCCTGGTTTCTCCCTCTCAGCGGGAGCCTCTCCTGATTGGCATTCTCTCTGCATCTGCTCTGCTCGTGAATCCTAAGAGGCTTAGCAGCAGAGCGACATCTGAGGCTCAGCAGCTTTCCCGGTGAAATGACGCCAGCTTACACAGAGTCTCCGTTCCGTTGACTGTGACATTTCAGCACATTGTTGTTAAACTGAATTACAGTAGGTTGTTTTTAAAACAGAAACAGAAAAACGGAATATATATATATATATATAATATATACAATAGGTTTGATTTTTTGTGCCTCAGGAAAAATTCACTGCAGAAAGTGAGTCACCTCACCGCAGCGTGGAGTCTGATCACGTGGTTTATGATTTTTAAACATAAAAAGTTAAAGCGAACTCTCAATAAAGACTCAGAATCACTATTATATTATATTATATTATATTATATTATATTATATTTTATTTTATTATATTATATTATATTATTACATATCCATGAATCAAAATGCGTGAAATAATTAAATTCCACTGATTTTCACTAATTAATTACAGCGATCAGGCGTGAATTTCACACACCTGCCTTAATCACAGAGGAATAAAAAATGGAAGACATTACTTCACCATATTTCTCCTTGAGCGCTGATGTGACAGGTCTGCCGCCCCCTAGTGGTGAAAGCCCTTTTTTTAACCTACAGCTACACAGGTTAGATTGAAAGAGAAAACACAGTCATTTTAACAGTATTTGAGCACAAAGAAGGGAATTCTAGTCAAAAATTGAATTTTTGGGATTTCTTGCCATTTACTAATTTATTAAAAAAATTCCAAACTTACAAAACTGCAGAATCTAGAACTGTCAGTTCTTTTATTATTATTTTCTTAATTATTATTCATTAAACAAACTAAAAAAACGCCTGATAAGTAAAAAAAAAATCAAGTGATTTAATTAAATTTATTCCTTTCACTTTCTGGGGGGAAAAACAAAACATATAACAATTTTTAAATCCTACTCGGACTCTATAGTTATGGGCCGGGGCCATCTGTCACCGTGTGCATTCACGCAGCCACCAGAAGGCCGCAACATGTGCACATTTAAATGGAGAAGCCGACTTTCCCAGGACACACAGGTCTGACCT